CTTTGTTCATTCCTTTTTGCGCTTTTTTTCTCTAATCTTGGTTTCTCATTTTATTTCATTGAGTTGGTCTTCGACTTCAGATATTCTTTCTTCTGCTTGGTCACTTCGGCTATTGAAACTTGTGCATGCTTCACGAAGTTCTTGTATTGTGTTTTTCAGCTCCTTTAATCCATTCATAGTCCTCTCTAATTTATCAATTCTTGTTATCATTTCCACATATCTTTTTTCAAGTTCTTTAGTTTCTTTGCATTGATTTAATACATGTTCTTTTAGCTCAAAAACGTTTCTTATTATCCACCTTCTGAAGTCTAATTTCATCATTTCGTCACAGTCATTCTCCGTCCAGCTTTTTTCCCTTGCTGGTGAGGAATTTTGGTCCTTTCTAGGAGGTGAGGTGTTCTGGTTTCGGGTGTTTTCCTCCTTTTTGCGCTGGTTTCTTCCCATCTTTGTGGATTTATCCACTTGTCGTCTGCGTAGTTGCTGACTTTTCGATTGGGTCTCTGAGTAGACACCCAGATTGTTGATGATGAAGTATTTCTGTTACTTGGTTTTCCTTCTACCAGTCTAGCCCCTTCGCTGTACGACTGCTGAGGTCCACTCCAGGCCCTGCTTGTCTGGGGTGCACCTCTAGCAGCTGTGGCACAGCGAGGGATGCTACCAGTTTCTTTTTCTGCTATCTTTGTCCCAGGATGATGCCTGCCAAATGTCAGTCTTTTGGATATAGAGGGGTCCGGGAGCTGCTTGAGGAGACAGTCTGTACTTTATAGGAGCTCAATTGCTGATCTGTGAGCTCTGTTGTTCATTCAGGGCTGTTAGGCTGCTATGTTTGATTCTGCTGCAACAGAGCTCATTATAAAAACCCTTTTTTTCTCAAGTGCTCTGTGGTGGGGGGGTTCAGGCTTTAGTTTTGGATGTTCATTGAAGTGTCCTGCCCAGCTAGGAGGCAGACTAGCCACTGTTTGCCTGCCTAGGCTCCGCCCTGCTGTTGTGTGGTTCACTCTGTTGGTTCAGGCTCTGCTGTTCTGTTGTGGTCTCCGCCATGCCCTGCGGCGAAGTATCTCTGTTGTAGCGGGTTGCCTCGGCAATGGCAGGCTGCGTCAGCAATGGTCGTGTATCTCAGTAGGGACGGGTTGCCTCGGCAATGGTTGGCTGCGTCAGCAGTGGGCGTGTATCTCAGTTGGGGTGGGTGGCCTTGGTAATGGTGGACACCCCTCCCCCACAGAGCGACTTGGACCGTCCGCACGGGGATCGTTTGAAATCGGGGTTTTGTTCGTCCCACTGGGCTACCCCAGACGCTCTGTCCCTGCCATCCCCTTGGCTGGCCCACTGTCCAAGTCTCGTTCAGTCTCAAGTCCAGCCCTCTCAAGTCTCAGGTTGCTGGTTCAACAGGGCACCCGGACAAGTGCGCCCTGTGTGAAGCGCTGGGTAGGGCTGGCCGCCACTACCCCGGCTGCCGGCTTCGCCAGGCAGAGGTACTACCTGGCATCCCACGTCTCCGTTATACTTGGAAATTTCCCTGTTCTGTGGGCAACAAATATCAGTCTGGAAATGCAGCTCCGACTCATCTCTCCGCAGATTCAAGGAGAGCTCCAATCCTGGGTTGTTCTCACAGCGCCATCTTGAGTCCTCCCCCCCCTACAGGAATTTTCTAGTAACAAACCCAGGTCTAAAGTAGCCACAGAAAGGGGAATATTATGTGTGATTATTTTTCTTATGCTATATCCCCAAGTTTTTCAGACTCATTTAAGTAAAGGCTAGAATGAATAAGGAATAGAGCCAAATGAGGTAGGTGTCTGAGCCATGAAGTATAAATACTGAAACTTGTCACTTTTATTCAGGAAATAGGGGAGATTCAAGTCATATAGATTCCTACTCAAATCTTGACACCTGACTTTGCAGGATGCACATTTTCATACGTAGACCAGTTTCCTCTTGGTTTCTTCAGTTAAGTCAAAACTACACGTTTCTCTTACCCCACATATTTTTGCTCGTTAGTGTATTTCTTGAGCTGTTTTCATGTTATTTCTTTCCTTTCTGTGAAATGGTGTTGTTTTCGTTTTGTTTTTTTTTAACTTGGGACCACCAAGTTGTAAAGATGTATGTTTTTACCTGACAGTTATACCACAGGTAGACTGTCAAGTTGAGAAGAGTGTATCAATAACTTGTATTTGTTTTAAAATTAAATTAATCCTTGATGAAAGTTGCTTTTTTTTTTAGGAGTTAGTCCTTGACCACTAGTTTGATGCCATCTTTGTTTTGGGTGACCTGTTTCACCCGTAGGCCTGTTACTATCCATGACTAACTGTGTAAGTGCTTAAAATGGAATAAATTGCTTTTCTATATTAAAAAAAAAAAAGTTAAAACAAACAAACAAAAACTTGTCCAAGATTAAAGTGAAAGCAAGTCTAATACGTCTTAGTGTAGCCAAGAAAGCAATAAAGAATAAAATTTGCTAAACTTTCTGAAACTGTTTTATCTTCTTGGAATGTTTTGTCTTTTTTGTCCACTCTGAAAACTCCTATTTACGTGTCAAGACCCAGTTAACAAACTTCCTCCTCAACAATATTTTTCCTCATAAGCTACCCCATTTATGTATCATTATTTCCTGCCTTGCACTCATAATTTGATACATTCTACTCTATTATAATCATTTACTTCTGTCATTCCTCCATGGGCAATGCAAATACCCTGAAGGCGTGGGCTGTGGCATTTATTCTTGTTACCATGAGACTCAGCACAGAGGGCACTGGTGGTAAATGTTTGTTGAGTGAATGGAGGCTTTTTGATGACATAGAGGCATGTAAATCCTTTAAAATTGTATATATCTTTTGACTTCTGGATAAGAGAGGGAAAAACATTCCAAACAAAGAGATCATAGTTTCATTTCAGGAAAACTACACTTATTTATGTGGTAGGTAATATGTCACCTGATAAATAACATGTGGAAAGTTGTGGAGGTTAAGATTCAATTTATAGAATGAGACTTGCTTATAAATAACCAGGAATGCAGTGTTTAACATCATGCCTATATTCACACAGGAAAAAAGACAGGAAGCAGGTAAACACCAAATGATAACACTGGTTCTCCTTCACTTCCTGACTTCCCAGTTTTACTTTTATTGATTGGTTTAATTATCATTGCCCATTTAATGCCAGTCAGCCAAAAATGTTTGCTGAACATCTATTGTCTTAGCTTGAATTCTACCCAAAGCAAACCTTGAGAAAAAGACTTGAGTGCACATAATTTAATTGGGTGATGAATCCAGGAAGCACAAGCGAGAAAATGGGGAAAGTAATACATGAAATTTGGAAAATCCCAAGAATGTTTGTGCTAATGGTAGGGTCCCCACTGTGGGCAGCTGGGGACAAACCCTGGGGACGGGCCTGAGGCTGGAGGCACTTGGCCACCAAGATTGCACACTTGGAGAGTCAGCTGGGTATTAGTATTAACCATGAGACCAGATAAAACATGAATTTATACTAATCTATAGACTTTTATACACTAAAAATCATTCTCTCTAAAATTTAATAGGAAAATGTGTACTCACTATTCTCAAGAGTAAATAGAAAAATATATAAATAAATCTGCCAAGCCTATGTGAAGAAAAGTGCTAACATTTTCTGGAAGACATAAAATAATGTTTGAATAAATGTCAGAACAAGAGATGTGCAACCAAAGCCAGCTTTTCGAATAAATACATACATGTGGTATAAATGCTTTTAATGGGGACTATCTCAATTTGCAACACTAGGTCTTGAATGGGATTGGCAAAGACCATGATGGGAAACTTAATTTTGGTCACATTGTTTTGTATCATCTAAATGTTTAAAGCACATATATTTGTGTATAAATGATATAAAAATCCTTAGAAAATAATAAATGTGATTTATATAAAATTTATAATTTTTCTACAGTCTGCTAAACATTTTTTCTGCTATGGTGTTTACCTTCTTGTTTCTTTCATGAAGTAAAATATTGAAAGGACGTTTCAGTCTGTCATTTCAGCTCTCAAATTAGCTATCATGAATTTCAAATTGTTTTGGGGGACAGCCTGGGTTCCCCAGGAAGCAGACACTGAGATGGAGAGCAATATGCAGGAGGTTTATTAAAGCTCTTAGGATTAACACTGAGGAGGGGAAGGGAGGGGATGGGAAGGGAGAGGACAGAAGGGGAGGGGGAAGGGAGAGGAGGGGTGAAGAGGAAGAGAGGGGCTGGGAGGGGAGGGGAGGGGAAAGAAAGGAAGGAAGGAAAAAACTGAAAGATGGTACTTTAAAAGATCACAGCACTGTTCACAACAGTAAAGATATGGAATCCGTCCAGGCTCCCATCAACAGTGCATTGGATAAAAAACATGACATTTTTACACCATGGAATACTACACGGCCATAAAAAGGAGTAAAATTATGTCTTTTGCAGCAACATGGATGTGGCTGGACAGTAGCCTAGGCAAATTATTCCAGGAATAGAAAACCAAATATTGCATGTTCTCACTTACAAATGGAAGCTAAACATTGGGTACACATGGACACAAAGATGGGAATAAGTGGGGACTCCAAAAAGGGGGAGAGAAGGAGAGAGGAAGGACTAAGAATGGCCCATTGCTCACTACCTGGTGACAGAATCATTTGTACCCCAAACCTCAGCATCACACAAATGTAAAAAATATGAATATGTACTCTTTAATTCTAAAATAAAAGTTGAAATTTTTTTAAAAGATAATGCATTGTATTCAATCTTTCCAAAACGTTTCCCCTGTTGTTATATTCATGTATATTTTATGACTTCAGTTTCATTCTTTTTATCCAAAGCCTACAAGATGACTAGTTGATTTGCCTAAGCCTGAAAAGACTTTTCTAGAAAGTCTAGGCAGTGATCGATGTCAGTTGCCCTCTGTTGGTAAGTTGACTAATGTGTGCTTTCTGCCCTACAGGTGTGGATAAAATGTAATCACCCAGAACCCAAGTATAAAACCTTTGTAAGAAATGGAATAACAACCATATTCAATTTTAGTGCCAATAGAATAGAAGTTTATTTTGGTACATGGAAACAACAAAGTACAAAAATCTTTGCAAAAGACTTTAAGAGACTTCACTGGACTTCGAGGTGGGAGGCATTAAGATCTGTGGCCCTACAAATGATGGAGGCAATCTTCAAATTCTTTAGGCATGATGAATAAATGTCCTGAAGTCAAAGAGGCGGGGGGATGTTGGAGAGAAATTTGTAGGTTTATTAGGAGACTCTCGATGAATTCATTTGGAAGGCAGAGAGTTTGGACAAAAGATAGAGTGCAAATACAGAATTTGGAAGGATGAAGTTTGCTTATGGGACACAGATCAGTTCTCTTGAACACTCCACATGTTTTAAAGCAGAGCCTTCATCTGTAGAAAAGGAGGTGATAAGGAAGTGGTGTGTTCAAAGCAAAGATTTAGCAGCAAGAGGAGGTGCAGCACATGGGGCGGGGGCAGGTGGAGATGACACAGGTTGGACGATAGCAAGTGGTGTGGCAGGAGACTCGGCCACAGACTGGACGCAGGCAGCAGCAGGAACGACAGCAGTTGGATTCACAGCAAGAGGGGCGGCAGCAGCTGGAGACGCAGCAGCTGGGCTGGCAGCACACAGACTGGCAGCACTGGGGTCTGCAACAGCTGGAGATGCAGCAGCTGGGTCGGCAGCAAGTGGTCCTGCAGCAGGTGGTCTGGCAGCATCTGGGACGGCAGCAACTGGATTGACAGCAAGAGGGGCGGCAGCAGCTGGAGATGCAGCAGCTGGGGCGGCAGCAGGTGGGCTGGCAGCACACAGACTGGCAGCACTGGGGCCTGCAGCAGCTGGACACACAGCAGCTGGGGCGGCAGCAGCTGGAGACGCAGCAGCTGGGGCGGCAGCAACTGGAGGTGCAGCAGCTGGGGCGGCAGCAGGTGGTCTGACAGCAGCTGGGGCGGCAGCAAGTGGGCTGGCAGCACACAGACTGGCAGCACTGGGGCCTGCAGCAGCTGGACACACAGCAGCTGGGGCGGCAGCAGGTGGTCCTGCAGCAGGTGGTCTGACAGCAGCTGGGGCGGCAGCAGTTCTCCAGGCCACAGCCCTGGTCAGAGCAGACAGAGCTACAACAAGAGTTGACCATGGTGTCAGAGGGTGGAGGTTCTGGATGGGTTTCCAGGAGAGTGAGTGTTCTGAGTTTGATCTCTCCTTGCTCTCTCTTTTGCTTTTTATACCCTGCTGAGGGCTACTATGACCATGTGAATAATCTTGTTGTTTACACATTACTAATAGAGAATCAGTTCTTTTTTTAGTAAATTAGATAGTTGTGCTTATCTGGTAAATGTTTCTATAAATAGAAAAGGCACCATTTCCTTTTCCTGTTGTATTATGAGCTATCCAATTTGGTTATGCCAAGTGAATCAGCTTTCACCCTATGTGTCTTCAGATGTGTAGACACAACATTGTGTTATTGGATTTCATAAGTGTTAATTCTTTATTTATTTGACTCCGGGATAACAGGTTGAGAATAGATTTTATGATAACGAAATCTCCTCTGCTCTCAAAGAGGTTAAACATAAATTACATGGAATGCTGGTAGGAAAATGGGATGAAAGATTCATCTTTGGGGGGTGATGGGAGGTGTGTAAAAAGAGGAACACTGTGATTCCTTTGTATTTTGTGGCCTGGCCAGTGATATAAAAGATCCCACTGAAATTCCTGTGTGTTTTGTTATTGAATCTATTCAGCTTGAAACAGATATAATGCAATGATTCATTGCTTTTAAAAGTAAGAACACATTGGCATGATGGGTCCCTTTATAAATTATTATTGACATGTTCTTCAGAGATGTGGACCATAGTGAACATTTTTGTTCTATTTTGTTGGTAAGTCAATACCCAACGAATGTGTTTAACTGAAGTGTTATTGATAGCATATTTTCTCATACTTGAAAGCTGTTTTCTCTCACAATATATGTTGGAGATATTTTGCTTGATACACAGAGAAGCAAAGGGTCAAGCTTTAATTTTTGTCCTATGGACACTTAAACAAGACAAATAAGAACATGTATAGAAAGGAGTTTAACAACTATTTAGAGAATTGTGTGATTAGTGAACAAGATAACAATTATAATTTAATCTGTACACTTCCAGTGAAAGATGAAACAATACTAATAGTTATAATTTGTTGAGTGCTTACTATGTGTCAGGAATTTTCTGAGTCCTCTATAATTGTTATCTTGTTTATACCTCACAAGGATTCTATGAGGTAGACACACTTTTTCTGAATTCTTTACATCCAAGATACTTGAGGCCCAGATAGATTGAAGTCACATGGTCTATAATAGGGAAAGTACGTCTCTCCTAGAGTGTTCGAGGAACATTTTGCACATATACATTTTACAATTAAATCCTTCCTGATATTTAAAAACAATTATTTGTAATTAAAAAGATGCATGGTATGTTCTCACTCATAAATGGGAGTTGAACAATGAGAACACATGGACACAGGGAGGGGGATGTCACACACTGGAGCCTCGAGGACAAGGGGAGGGAGAGCACTGGGACAAATGTCTGATGCATACAGGGCTTAATACATAGATGATGGGTTGATAGGTGCAGCAAACCACCATGGCACATGTATAACTATGCAACAAAGCTGCACGTTCTGCATATATATCCCAGAACTTAAATTTTTTTTAAAAGATGTATGATAAGAAACCATCATAAACAAAGTAAAAAAACAAATGACCAAATTTGAAAAAAGACTCATAATTTATATCACAAACAAAGGATTAATAGAATAAAAAAGACTTCTGAGACTGGGCACGGTGGCTCACACCTGGAATCCCAACATTTTTGAGAGGTCAAGGCAGGAGGACTGCTTGAGCATGGGAGTTTGAGACCAACCTGGCCAATTTGGCAAAACCCCATCTCTACAAAACAAAATTAGCTGGTGAGGTAGCACGCATCTGCCCAGCTACTAGGAAAGCTGGGGCAGGAGACTCACTTGAGCCCAGGAGGCAGAGGTTGCAGTGAGCTGAGATTGCACCACTGCACTTCAGCGTGGGTGACAGAGTGAGACTCTGTGTCAAAAAAACAAGAAGAAAAAGAAAAATGACTTCTAAAAATAGATTAGAAAACAGACCAACAGCCTAATGGAAAATTTAAAATGCAAATATTTTACCACCATAAAAATATACTCAATTTCATGCATAATAAAAGAAATGAAATCATACGGTATGGCCCTTCTCACCTGTTAGATTGTCAAAAATTCAAAATCTGACAGCATTCTCTGGGAGGGAGATGATGTGAAAATAGGCATGCTCACATTTTCTGGTGAGAGCTTGGCAGTAACTAGCAGCGTTATTCTTTGACTCAGCTTTCCCAATTCCATAAAATATCTCAAAGATACTCAGGAAAGTATGTGAAAGGTGTTGTGTGAGATGATTTATAACAGGTCTATTTGGGAAAAAACAAATGAAAACTACAACAACACTGGATACAACCCAGGTGTCCTTCAATCAATAGGGTACTGGTGAATAAACTGTGGTGCCTCCCCACGATGGAGTACTATGCAGCTGCTGTGAAAAGGAATAAGAGTGCCTCTATACACTGCTACAAATTAATCTCCAAGAGATATTGTTAAGAGACAATAAAGCAGTAGAGAATAATGTGTACAATGTTCTACAACAATATGTCTGAAAACTCTAGGATATAAATATCAAAAATATATTTGCTTACACTTTTAAAATGGTAGAAGAATAGAGAGAAGAGATTTTAAAAAAGGAAAGAGGGACTTCTGTCAAAATATCAAATTTGCATTTTAAGTATATGCAGTTTATTATATGCCATTGTAACTTAATGTAGCTGAAAAACAAAGAAAAAATTAACGGATATTTAACCGTTAATTAAATTAACGGTTTAATGGTTAATCGTTAATGGTTAATGGAAAATTAACCATATTTGTGGGGTTTTGTTTTGTTTCATTTTGTTTTTGAGATGGAGTCTTGCTCTGTCGCCCAGGCTGGAGTGCAGTGGCGCGATCTCGGCTCACTGCAACCTCCACCTTCCGGGTTCAAGCTTCCCATTCTCTGCCTCAGCCTCCCAAATAGTGCACCCACCAGCACGCCCAGCTAATTTTTGTATTTTTAGTAGAGATGGGGTTTCACCATGTTGGCCAGGCTGGTCGTGGACTCCTGACCTCATGATCCATCCTCCTCAGCCTCCCAAAGTGCCAGGATTAGAGGCACGAGCCACCGCAACTGGCCCGTATTTGCTTTTTAGAAATTGACCCATAGAGGGTGAAGAGAATAGAATAGAGAAGATAGAAATAGACACTAAATATTTTTTTGAATTTATCTTTTTTATAGCTTTGACTTTGCACCTGTGTAAATATTTTACATATTTATAAAAATATTAAAATTTTTAAATCTCTCAAAATCACTAAAACCACCATCGCAACAATGGAATATAACTGTATATCTGAGCATAACTTCAGAGAAAGTAACTATCCTAAGATCAAAATGTTTTTTCAAAAACCAGTCAAGTCTGTTTGCAATAACTATATTGTTGTCTTTAGTATTGGCAATATTATTCCAGATTGTTGTGCAAGCATTATGTAATAAATAAAATGAGTAATTACATCGAGGAACTGTTATTTTTGGCAAAGAAGAAAAGAGATTTGTAGGAAAAAGATATGAGGTTAAGTAAAAACCCTGTAATTCTCAGTAGAAATGCTCATGTACTTTATCTTTTAAAGTGTCATCTATGATTTCTTTCAGCAGCGTTTTGTAGTTTTCCTTGTAGATATCTTTTGACTCCTTTGCTAGGTATATTCCTAAGTACTTTTTTGCAGCTATTATAAAAGGGGTTGAGTTCTTGATTTGAGTCTCCACTTGGTTGCTGTTGGTGAATAAGAGAGTCACTGATTTGTGTATATTAATCTTGTATCTGGAAACTTTGCTGAGTTCTTTTATAAGTTCTAGGAGCTCTCTGGAGAAATCCTTAGGGTTTTTAAACACTGCTGAAAGAAATAATAGATGACACAAACAAATGAAAACATATCCCATGCTCAAGGATGGATAGAATCAATATGGTGAAAATGATCATACTGCTAAAAGCAATCTACAAATGTAGTGTCATCCCCCAAAGCAAATGCAATAAAAACAAAGATAACTGTCTGGGATCTAATTAAACTAAAGAGGTTTTGCATGGCAAAAGGAGCAGTCAGCAGAATAAACAGACAACCCACAGAATGGGAGAAAGTCTTCACAATCTATACATCTGACAAAGGACTACTATCCAGAATCTATAACAAACTCAAACAAATCAGTAAGAAAAAAAAACAAACAATCCCATCAAAAAGTGAGCTAAAGACATAGAAAATTCTCAGAAGAAGATATACAAATGACCAAAAATGAAAAGAAATGCTCAAAATCACTAATGATCAGATCAAATCAAAACCATAATGCAATACCACCTTACTCCTGCAAGAATGGCCATAATCAAAAAATTAAAAAAAAAAAACAACAGTAGATGTTGGCATGGATGTGGTGATCAGGGAACACTTCCTACTGCTAGTGGGAATGTCAAATAGTACAGCCGCTACAGAAAACAGTGTGGAGATTCCTTAAAGAACTAAAAGTAGAACTGCCATTTGATCCAGCAATCCCAAGTCATTATTTGAAAAAGATACTTGCACACGCATGTTTATAGCAACACAATTCACAATTGCAAAATCATGGAACCAACCCAAAGGCCCATCTATCAACAAGAGGATAAAGAAACTGTGATATACATATATATATATATATATATATGATGGAATACCACTCAGCCATAGAAAGGGATGAATTAACAGCATTTGCAATGGCCTGGATGAGATTGAAGACTATTATTCTAAGTGAAGTAACTCAGGAATGGAAAACCAAACATATTATGTTGTCACTGATGTGTGGGGGCTAAGCTATGAGAATGCAAAGGCATAAGAACGATACAGTGGATTTTGGGGACTTCAGGGGAAGAGTGAGGGTGGGGTTGAGGGATAAAAGACTATAAATATTGTGCAGTGTATACTGCTCGGGTGAGGGATGCACCAGGATCTCAGAAATCACCACTGAAGAATTTAATCATGCAACCAAATACCACCTGTACCTCAATAACTTGTGGAAAAATAATAAATATTTTTTT